GCTGCTTCCGTGGATATTGGAACACACGGAATAGATGTAAGGATACGGCTATAAGAGCCATAGTAGGGCTGGCTTGTGGTGCAATGGAAAGACTAACGAGCCCAACTAAATCGGCGGCCGATAAAGTCCGTGGTGTGCGATGGATCTAAAACATTTTAAACAAGAAATATTGCCATCACATTTTCGTTTTTATGATTTTTATTCATGTGATTAGCGGGTGGCAAGAATGTACATATGTATTAAATACGTATATGCATATTAAAAATGAAGTGAGCAGTTACGAAATACATATATAAATCTTTACATGTTCTGTTAAAAAATATTTGAAATAACAAGCGAAGATCCCCAAGTTCTATATCGTAGAAGTGGCCACATTGCGCGTTTGTCACAGATACGGTTTATGTCAAAAATTTTGAAGTGAAACTACCTTCCAATGCATGTCAAACAGGTAGTAGCATTAGAGCAAAAACCACATTTGCGTGTATTTCGTTTTTGCTTCTGGNGATAAGCTTCACTTTTTCTCTTGGGGAATATGCTTCGGTCTTCCAGGCTGTGCTATTTGCAATCCCCAAAGCCATAGACTACGTGGTGGAAAATAGGTGGAGGGGAAGGAGTTTACGTGTCTACAGGTACAGCCAAGCTGCACTTAAGGCATTGGCCAGCCCTCTAAGTACCTCCAAACTAGTTCGGCAATGCAAGTCTCGACTAAATTGTGTTGGTAAACCAGGTTGCTTTATAACGAGGTTGGTTTACTCTGCGTGGCGGGCAACTCGGGAGTACCCATCAGAAACTGGGTGGCTACTTCGCTCAGAAATGACTGGGAGCCATCGAGTGGATGCAGGTGGGCAAAACTCATGTTGCCTTCAATCTCAGAAGGTCTATCTAGTTTTTTCCTCTCACTGAGAAGACGGGACTGCTGACTGGTCATTTCACGTGACACAAACACCCGACTGTGATAGGTGTAAATAACAACTCCATTTGCCCACCCTGCTTTAAAGAGGATGAAACGGTGGAAAGCTTCTCGCTTGCTTGTTTGTTTATCATCGATTTATCTAGATTCGGTATTTTCTTTTTTGTCAGTTTCTGAATTTGAAGTTCGGCGTAGAAAGCTTTGCAGTTTTGTTGTTTCAAGCATGATACAATAATTTTAAGAAGGTAGTTTCACTTCTTCTTATCCGCCATGTTAGCTATCTGACAGAAAACGTGTTTCGTATTTTTTTTATGCCAACTTAAAAAAAAATATCCAGCTTTCGACGTTGGAAAAATAAAACAAAGGAAAGCCAAACATATATGTAAGTATAGAAATATTCTAATATTTTTTTAATAATTTTCTTCATAAAAAATTATAAAAAGATTAATTGCTGCTTCCGTGGATATTGGAACACACGGAATAGATGTAAGGATACGGCTATAAGAGCCATAGTAGGGCTGGCTTGTGGTGCAATGGAAAGACTAACGAGCCCAACTAAATCGGCGGCCGATAAAGTCCGTGGTGTGCCATGGATCTAAAACATTTTAAACAAGAAATATTGCCATCACATTTTCGTTTTTATGATTTTTATTCATGTGATTAGCGGGTGGCAAGAATGTACATATGTATTAAATACGTATATGCATATTAAAAATTAAGTGAGCAGTTACGAAATACATATATAAATCTTTACATGTTCTGTTAAAAAATATTTGAAATAACAAGCGAAGATCCCCAAGTTCTATATCGTAGAAGTGGCCACATTGCGCGTTTGTCACAGACGCGGTTTATGTCAAAAATTTTGAAGTGAAACTACCTTCCAATGCATGTCAAACAGGTAGTAGCATTAGAGCAAAAACCACATTTGCGTGTATTTCGTTTTTGCTTCTGGTATCGAAAGTGTCAAAAACTGTTCTAGTTTTTTTCTTCTAAATCAAATACAAAAAATACAAAAATAAAAAATAAAAAATTACATTGGAAAAAAAATTAAAATTGTAGCAACTTTCTTTCTTAGTAAATTTGTTTGCTTATCGAAACATTAGGGGTATTCTCCAAATCATTGCACGTAGCACGGATTGTATNATTAAAAATGAAGTGAGCAGTTACGAAATACATATATAAATCTTTACATGTTCTGTTAAAAAATATTTGAAATAACAAGCGAAGATCCCCAAGTTCTATATCGTAGAAGTGGCCACATTGCGCGTTTGTCACAGATACGGTTTATGTCAAAAATTTTGAAGTGAAACTACCTTCCAATGCATGTCAAACAGGTAGTAGCATTAGAGCAAAAACCACATTTGCGTGTATTTCGTTTTTGCTTCTGGTATCGAAAGTGTCAAAAACTGTTCTAGTTTTTTTCTTCTAAATCAAATAGTGCCATGTGAAATACAAAAATAAAAAATAAAAAATTACANGTCGAAACCCATGTATATATTTTGCGAAATAGCATAGCAAGATAAATGCGCCCCTATGCTAGTTGTTGTGTTGTTGGAATTGCTACAGATTTCTCTCNTTCGAAATTTGGAATAGTATTTTTGCATTTCGTGCAATCCGTGCATCGTGCAAGACTTCGAGAATACCCCTATTGATCCATCCTTTGCAAGGCCCAGTAATCAGCGGTTGAGCTGCTGAGTTAGCCGAACATTCCAAAAGCTGCTATTCAATCGTTTGTTTTGTATGGAAAAAGGTTTCACGTGCAAATAGATTTTAACAATTTAAAATTTTTGTGAGAGTAAATTCAAAATATTTGACATTTTCGATACCAAATAATTAAAAAAAAAATCAAATCAGCTGCCCTAATGATACTACCTGTTCAATGTGCCTTGCTACTTTCTAAAAATTATTAGTGGTATTCTCGAATTTCGAAGAGTACGGGAGCACCCCATTGCAAAGTGATAGCATGCATGAGTAGCAAGCAGCGAAATTATGTATCAAATACAATAACAAGAGACAGCAAAAAAAAATGAAGTGAGCGAGATGAGAGCAATGAGAGAAATATGTAGCTTTTCCAACAACAAAACAACTAGCACAGGGGCGCATTTATCTTGCTATACTATTTTGCAAAATATATAACTTATTAAATCCGAAGTTTTTTACGTTGGGCGCCACTTATTAAATCCGAATTTTTTAAATTAAAATTGAAGTTTTCCGTTCGGTTACAAATTTTATTCTCAATCNAATTGCTACAGATTTCTCTCATTCCTCTCATCTCGCTCACTTAATTTTTTATTTTTTTGTTGTCCCTTGTTATTGTATTTGATACATAANGCGACCCTGTGCTAGTTGTTTTGTTGTTGGAATTGCTACATATTTCTCTCATTCCTCTCATCTCGCTCACTTAATTTTTTTTTTTTGTTGTCCCTTGTTATTGTATTTGATACATAATTTCGCTGCCTGCTACCCTTTGTTACACTTTGCAATGGGGTGCTCTCGTACTCTTCGAAATTTGGAATAGTATTTTTGCATTTCGTGCAATCCGTGCATCGTGCAAGACTTCGAGAATACCCCTATTGATCCATCCTTTGCAAGGCCCAGTAATCAGCGGTTGAGCTGCTGAGTTAGCCGAACATTCCAAAAGCTGCTATCCAATCGTTTGTTTTGTATGGAAAAAGGTTTCACGTGCAAATAGATTTTAACAATTTAAAATTTTTGTGAGAATAAATTCACAATATTTGACATTTTCGATACCAAATAATTAAAAAAAAAATCAAATCAGCTGCCCTAATGATACTACCTGTTCAATGTGCCTTGCTACTTTCTAAAAATTATTAGTGGTATTCTCGAATTTCGAAGAGTACGGGAGCACCCCATTGCAAAGTGATAGCATGCATGAGTAGCAAGCAGCGAAATTATGTATCAAATACAATAACAAGAGACAGCAAAAAAAAATGAAGTGAGCGAGATGAGAGCAATGAGAGAAATATGTAGCTTTTCCAACAACAAAACAACTAGCACAGGGGCGCATTTATCTTGCTATACTATTTTGCAAAATATATAACTTATTAAATCCGAAGTTTTTTACGTTGGGCGCCACTTATTAAATCCGAATTTTTTAAATTAAAATTGAAGTTTTCCGTTCGGTTACAAATTTTATTCTCAATCGATCTACAAAATTTTCCATTATTTATAGCACAAAATTTTCAATACAAATTTCAAAGGTTGTTTATTTTCTATCCAAAACAGTGATTGTATAGAAACAGTAGTTTTCCTAACAAGTGAAATCACTGCCAAGTGAATTCATTGATGTACCTTAACTTATACATGGGTTTCGACGTTGCATATTTTGTTGTTTCCCATGCATTTTGTTGTTATGTGTTTGCAAATTATGCAATCCATGCAATCCGTGCTACGTGCAATGGCTTTGCAAGNAAAAAAAAAATCAAATCAGCTGCCCTAATGATACTACCTGTTCAATGTGCCTTGCTACTTTCTAAAAATTATTAGGGGTATTCTCGAATTTCGAAGAGTACGAGAGCACCCCGTTGCAAAGTGATAGCTTGCATGAGTAGCAAGCAGCGAAATTATGTANTATTTTGTTGTTTCCCATGCATTTTGTTGTTATGTGTTTGCAAATTATGCAATCCATGCAATCCGTGCTACGTGCAATGGCTTTGCAAGATTTGGAGAATACCCCTATTGTATCATGGTATTTGAGCTGGCAATCATTGCAAAGTCAACGTCGCGAAACACATGTTTTTTTATTGTGCTAAAATACTTCAAAAAAGTACATATATGTATCAGTTAAAGCTGCATCGAAATATAATTGTAAAAACTTTTCCTTTTCTCTAACGCGCGGCATTTTTTTTTATTTAACATTTGCAATGCGGAGTTGTGATAGGTCGTTCATACAACTTTGTTCGCAACATTGCCATTTCGCCAAAAATGCCACTTTGCAACGCTTTATGAATCCCACTAATATTTTACCATGTGCACATACATAGGTATCTATTGTTTACAAACAGACAAGCGTTGCCTAATTGGCAGCTACTTATTCACATTTTCCAATTGGAATATTACGCATACGCACCTTTGTCAAGTGATTGTGGTTGAGGAAGAGCTTCAGCAATATGGGGCACTTTTCCACCAAGTCAGGAACTTCAGGCATCTCGAAACGTGATAAATTTAACGTAAACGATTTGTTGTCAATGGCATCCTCGCATATGGCCAAGACGTGATTGTGACGAAAGAACTGATATATCATATTCATGATGATTGTTGAATAACAATAATTAATAGACGCGATATGCGAAAAATAACACTACAAAATTTATTTATTTTCCATACAGATTTCGATTATGTAAATAATAGGTTGCTATTTCTATTAGCGTTTGTTGGCTTTCAAACAAATTTGTTGTTTTTTCACCTTTTCATTTTTCACAACTCAATTGGAAGCGCTTGATATATTTTTTTAAGTATTTTTGCTTGCGATTTGCTGTCGAACGAATATTATTGCAATCGCACGCGTCAGCATTTTTATGATTTTTTATAAATTTTTGTAAAATTGTCGCACGATATTCACAAGTGCATGCTTGTGTAAAAAATGTGTAAATGAAAGTCGTGTGCTAAGTTGGTGGATACATATGTATGTATGTATATAAAAATGTATGTTTGTATGCATTTATGTATGTATGTATGTATGTAGGCGCTCGTATTTTTAGCCAACGACGAACTTTGCTTCACCCGGTGAAAGCTGCAGAGCATAACACAGAGCAACGTAACGACGAAGCTAACTGGTCGATGAAGCACCACTGATTGTGCAGGCATAGCACTAACAAGTAATACGCACCGAAATTGGCAACCGACCGACCGAATGCGTATATAAACCTACGTGCAAAATAATAGCAAAAAAAAATATTAAAAATCAACGCGAATTCCTATGCACTTTATTATTTAGTATAAAACTGTATATCTATAAATTCTTTTTAAAGAGTGTGAAAGTTTGGTCAAAAATTTGTTAAAATTAAAAAAAAAATCCTGGCTCCGTTTTAGTTCTAAGAGCTCAGATGTGCATTTTTGTCGTAATAGGGCTACTTAAGCCTAGCGATTTAACAGAAGGGGAAAGGTTCCGTTCCTAGCATATATGTAGTTTAAAAGTGGACATTGTCCTTCCCCAGAAGGATGGGGCCAGTCGTATCATTTCTCTACAACTCGTCAGTTTTGTAGTTGTCCTCAATATATCGGTGTCTAGGACCAATAGGAGTTGTATTCTTAATACATATAATGATGGGACACCTCGTTTAGAGATCTACAACATTCAAGGCCGCTCCACATTGAACTTTCGCGTTGGCGTTGGCGTTGGCGTTGGTTTGACAGAACGCACGTTAAAAGTATGCCTGCTACAATGAACGCTTGGCAGTGAATGCTTGGGCCACTAAATTAACATACTAACGACAGATAAATTAATATTTCATATCAATAATTGCATTAAAAACGGTATTTCTTGCCCGCACTTGATTAAAAAGGAAAAATATTTCACATAATTTTATTTATTTGCAACAGCTGACGAGCGACGCACGCGAAAAGATGAGTGTTGGCCATCTTTTTGTTTTATGTTGGCGTGAGCGTTGCCGAATATTGGCTATGTGGACGGCTGCATTTAAATTCATGTATTCATAGTCAGCTGTTGAAGCGACGCCAACGCCAACGGAACGCCAAAGTTCTATGTGGACGGGCCTTAAGTGAGAGAACTTGTGTTGTCTACGCATATGAGTCTAGAGCTTTCAGAGAAGCCTAAAAGCGACGTAAAAAGAAAGAACGTGTCAGCTGACATAATCTATCTTATCAGTTCTGCGTGTTAACAAAGACTTACCACCGCATGACCGTGACGTAGATGTTGCTTCCCTCTATTTCTATCAACAGCAAACTTTCTACGTACTTCTACGCTACGCTAAGTACACCTTCGTGGGTAACCGCGCTCTAACAGTCAGCGAAGATAAAAACCTGTATTTGCTTATTAAGTGCCGAGTGGTCCCCTGGATATACAGCACCTCTACCTTTATACCCTATATATGTATATAATGAGCTATATTTTTATAAAAGTAATTTTTAAGCAAAAAACACAACCAACTTCAATGCTCATATAAAAATTTAGGAGTACTATTATTTTATTCATGATCCATTGATTGGAACTTAACCAAGTTCATATGGGACCACCCTTGAGGTACTAATGTAAGAATAATAGATTGGCGCTTACATATTTAATAGGCAACTTTTTTAAGTTTTATTTTTTGATGTTGCTCGGCAACTGGGCTCGAACCCAAACCTTTCGGAATGGTAGTGCGCCACTAATCAATACACCACAGCCGTCGCCTTATCTACATATGTATGTACATAAAAAATATTCCGACGAATTAATAATCTCCTCCTTTTTTGAAGTCGGTCAAAAAAATGATGAACATTAAACAAACAAAAGCAAAGTAGTCAACACTGGTCAAAATGTCGCACTGCTATTATTTTGCACTTAGTTGTATGCAAGTACATACATACATACATACTTTTATTTGTACTTATAGACTTTAATATTTAGCTACATGTGTCTCTCTTGAGTTTGTCATTTTACTTTTATTGCTCCTCTACATTTTTGCTAATCGAAAAAAACTTGTAGGGTGCCTATAATTATATCCGGACACTTTATTTTTAATTAACAATCACTTAAATTTAATATTTGTATTTTATTTTAGCGATTAGCACACGCGCCGACTTCAACTGCTCGCACAGGTGTGTTAGCGAATGTGAAAATTGCTTTACTCAAAGACCCGTATCACTTAGCTCACGTTGGCAGTAGAGCACAACTCGGCTACGTATTGGGGTCAGTGTTGCCGCGCCGTCTCAAGAAAATGTACATGTATAGATTTTTATTTTCCATAAAATCAAACATTTATAATTTCAGTTTGTTGTCTAAATTTTTTGTGCATAAGTATTTTGCAAAGTATAATAAATAGTAATTAATATGTTACATTTGTACCTGTATACTCTAAAAAGTGCAACTTTGGAAACTTGCACACATTAAAAGAGGAAACTGGTTACCTCTCCAAGAGAGGCTCTCTTAATATACGCAAATTTGAACAACAAATTTTTAGAGTGTATTTAAAGTCTTTTCAGTAAAATTCATACAAATTTCCTTGAATAAATCAAGTTTAGTTTTCTAAACAGTGTATTTTAAACGACACTGAGATTTTTTTTTCTGTTTTAACCGACTCCACAAAAAGGAGAAGGTTATCAATTCGTCGGATTTTTTTTATGTATGTTACCGCATATCTTTGGACCACGTTAACCGATATGAATAATTCTTTTTTTTTTTAAGAGAAGATGTTACCGATCATTGTATCATGAAGAAATTAACGATAATCATAAATTTTTATATAAGAATTGCATTCGGTTTTTTTTGCTTAAAAATTACTTGTTAAATTAAGAAATTAAAATTTGTGATATGAAAGAGATCACTACTACTAAAGTATCCATAAAAAATTTAAAACTGTATCCACCGAAAAGAGCGGACATTTTTACACAGTACATCTATGGAAGAGAGAATCGGGCCCCTTAACAAACTTATTAACATGTAGTCAGTATTTTCCCATCCATAGACACGGATTTGGGAAACAAAGCAGTTAATTGCAGCTTTTTGACATAATTTTCAAAGGGATCCTGTCAACTTAATCCTGTCANTCCATAAAAAATTTAAAACTGTATCCACCGAAAAGAGCGGACATTTTTACACAGTACATCTATGGAAGAGAGAATCGGGCCCCTTAACAAACTTATTAACATGTAGTCAGTATTTTCCCATCCATAGACACGGATTTGGGAAACAAAGCAGTTAATTGCAGCTTTTTGACATAATTTTCAAAGGGATCCTGTCAACTTGTCGACTTAATTTTGACTATAACTACGGCCCTTTGTTTCCCAGATCTGACCGAAGAGAAGCCGCACAACGGCCCTCCTAGACGTGGTAGAAAGCATTCGGTCGCAAATTGATGAAAACAATGTTACCTTTTTAACTCTCCTTGACCATACCAAGGCTTTTGATTCAGTTGACCACAAGTTATGTTGCAAGTTAGAAAACTTATTAAACTTTTCCAGCCATGCAACTGCATTGATAAGATCCTATCTTGATATTTGTATTAAAAAGTTGAATNGAACCCGGCCCAATCCAATTGTGTCGTAATACATAGAAAGTCCTTAAGAACGAGTGAGCTAGATGAAATCAAATTGGACAATTCGGTCATAAAATATGTCAGCGCGGCCAAAAATCTTGGCATGCTCTTCAACAATAAGCTGACATGGTATGATCATATCTTTGGCACAGTAGGTGAAATGTATGGAATGCTCCGTACACTCTGGTTGTCGCTNCAGTACATCTATGGAAGAGAGACTCGGGCCCCTTAACAAACTTATTAACATGTAGTCAGTATTTTCCCATCCATAGACACGGATTTGGGAAACAAAGCAGTTAATTGCAGCTTTTTGACATAATTTTCAAAGGGATCCTGTCAACTTGTCGACTTAATTTTGACTATAACTACGGCCCTTTGTTTCCCAGATCTGACCGAAGAGAAGCTGCACAACGGCCCTCCTAGACGTGGTAGAAAGCATTCGGTCGCAAATTGATGAAAACAATGTTACCTTTTTAACTCTCCTTGACCATACCAAGGCTTTTGATTCAGTTGACCACAAGTTATGTTGCAAGTTAGAAAACTTATTAAACTTTTCCAGCCATGCAACTGCATTGATAAGATCCTATCTTGATATTTGTATTAAAAAGTTGAATTCTAAATTGACTCGAGTAAGTGAGTGGGCTTCTAAATACGGTCTGTGCCAGAACCCGGCCAAATCCAATTGCGTCGTAATACATAGAAAGTCCTTAAGAACGAGTGAGCTAGATGAAATCAAATTGGACAATTCGGTCATAAAATATGTCAGCGCGGCCAAAAATCTTGGCATGCTCTTCAACAATAAGCTGACATGGTATGATCATATCTTTGGCACAGTAGGTGAAATGTATGGAATGCTCCGTACACTCTGGTTGTCGCTGTACTTCACTCCCTTAAATATAAGACTACTCTTAGCCAAAGCGTACTTAATACCTACGCTCCTATACGGATGTGAGATTTATGCTAATTGTGACGCTGCTTGTAAGCAAAAGTTAAATGTTGTCTATAACAACATTGCAAGATACGTGTTTGGGTTGAAAAGGCTTGACCACGTAGCATCATATGCTGAAAAGTTGCATAGCATCTCCTACGAAAACCTGTTAAAAGTTAGAACACTACTGACCTTGCATAAAATTATATACACAAAGGAGCCTCAGTATCTATATCGAAGACTTCAATTTCTTCATTCTTCGAGGTCAGTACTTCTGGTACATACTAAATATCGTTTTCTTATATCTGAACGCCAATTCTTCATAAATTCGATTCGTCCTTGGAACTCACTCCCCATTCGACTTAGGCTATTAAATAACGCACTGGACTCCAAAAACGAATTAACCAGTTTTTATAATAACGTATAAACATAAATTAATGTACTTTAAACTGAAGAAATACTTCAAATAATATATATATATATATTTTTTTTTTTTTATTGTATTGTCTACAACCTGTCTACTACAAATCAATTCCATCTATACATTAACTACAATTTAAAACTAATTTTGTTTTTAGATTTAGTTATTTATGTATGGTGACTAACACTATAAAATAATTTGTTTAATTGTTGTGCTAGGATTAAAATCAAAATAAATACAACTAACAGACTAAAATTGGTTGGGTTATAAAACTGTGTATTCAGAAAAATTCAAACACTTCTGAGAAAAAAGTTTGAAATTTAGGTGAAAATTTGTTGCACTTTTTTGAAGTTTTCTACAAATTGGTAAACTTGTTTTTATATGGGGTTTGTTAGAGAAAGAACTGTATTTTAATTGAAAATTCTCAAAAATAAATAAATAAACATAAGTTGCACACAATATCACTTTGAAATGGGGTGCTATAGATATGACCGATACTGTATGTACTACATACATACAAATGTATGTACATATGTATATGGAGCTTACCCAGACTAGTTATTGTTGTGTTACGTCCAACCGAACAGTTTGTTGCAATTTTTTACCGAAATCGTTACATCGCGTCTAAAGAGTTTTCCGAAATTAGAACCGATTTCTTTCCGAAATTGTCTAGAATTTCATATAAGAGGGTTGAGACGACTTCGAAAAGAAATACCTTAACGATTCCGTAAGGTATGGTCTTAACTAAATCGAACCGAATTTGTCGGTACGAAATCTTTTTGCGAAATTGTTTAGACATTTTCCAAGCGAAATCTGTATACATATGTACATTAGACTGCATCACCAAAAAAGTTGCGGTTTTCCGACGGGATTACAAAATTTATTATATTTTAAGACGTCCATCAAAAAATGGAGTTTTTTATGAATAAAAATAGTTTATTAAAGAACTTTTTGAAAAAAGTTCCCTCAGATGACAAAACAGATTAGGCTTAAAAAATCTGCATAAAAATATTTTATAGTTCCAATGGAAAAACAGTACCGATTTTTTTTTCTGTGGGGAGTGATGCTGTCTAATGTATGTACATATATTGCAGCGTAAAATTTAATCTTTTTTATTAGTTCATACAGATAAATTTTTATTTATTATCATATGCATTTACATATGTATAATTAAACTAAGTATATAAAAAATAATTCACTTTATGTGTTCGCTCTTTTTGATTGTTTAGTTTTTCTCTCCTTGGCGCCACTAAACAATTTTTTTTTATTGCTTCATCAATTTTAGAATAGTGCTTTTGTTGTATATTCTCCATGAATGAATCCACATGTAGTATAAGAAGTTGAGAGTTCTGTAGACTTTAAGTTGGCAAAAATAAAATATTTAAAGTCATCTGTCGGTGGTTATACAGGGTGTCCCAGAAGTAACCTGCCAAACTTTAGGGGAAGGTAGGTTGGGGGGTGAGCTCTCTGATAAACAAAAAAATTTCAAGTAAAAGTGTTACCGTTTTTGCAATATTTACATTTTTTTGAATTAAAAAAAATCGTGCCTTTTCATGTATTTTCTTTAACTGCGTCTACAAACCAGGCTATACTTAGTAAATTTTTCATGTAAAATACTTCCAGATAGTTGCTTCTCCATACTCAAATGCAATGTAGTTAAAATATATTAAGGAACCATCATAAAATGATGACTATTTTGGGATTTTTAACTTTTTCATAGTTTCTTCCCCAACTTTAACTATCCCTGGTGAAAAAAAATGTACTGAGCTATAACTTTACATTACATAAAAAAAAATTGTTCATTTAATAAAGATTTCAGAAAGGTACCACTCTTACTGTTTCGAATAGAAAAAAAGTTATAGCCGCTTTTGTGGGCAAAGGACTGAGACACGCTAGAATGTATTTAATAGATTTAAATTTAAGTTGCTCTTGTTACCGACCGATGACATACTAAATAGTACAAAGGTACATTATTACCTGCTCCTGACATTATTTTGCGTTACTTACCGGAATTCGGACTAGAGTCTATAACAAGGGCCATATCTATCAATATTTTTTGTGAAGGATGGGTTCACGTGAAATAAAATATACATGAGTTGTTTGAAGAAAAATTTATTCATTTATTGATAAAATATGCTCAAATTGGCGACCTTCTACTCTAATACAAGCTCGGCACCTTTTAAGAAAAGACGCTTTTAGAGATCTTAAACTCAATTGGGCTATCTCAGCAGCAGCTCCATTTATTTGTTCCCGCAAATGCTCTTCGTGTTGAATTGTTTTTGAATA